TGGCTACACACCTTTAATCTCAGTGCTCAGGAGGTAGAGGCAAGTGGATCTCTGTGAGTTTGAAGCCAGCCTGGTCTACATAGTGTGATGGACCACCCCAGACCGGAGCACTCAGTCTGACAGGAACAGGGAATTGGAGAGTGAGCAAGGATTCGGCGAGTGACAGACACAACACAAGAGATGGTTGATGATCTGAATGTAATTTTCTAAAGTGGAGCATCAGATTGTATACAAGTTACAGAACAAGATTGTGCAAGCATCAGGTTGATTTCATGGTTAATCATTTTCTTAGAAATACAATTCAAAATCAAAGCAATACAGTACAGTGTACAGTATCCTTATCTAATTAATCAAGTGCTTAGCCTATTTGTCCTTTTCCCTTAGTGGTTTGGCAACATCAGCTACTTATAAATTAGATAAGGATACTGTACACTGTACTGTATAGAGTTCATTTTATTTTACTTCTGAGGTTTTGGTGGCCGAGGCCAATGACTTGGTCAGTGAAGTTATAATAACTCCATATAACTTTAAAGGCTTGTTTCTCTAATCCTTATTTTCTTATTCTTTCTATCCATGTTTCTTATACTGCCTGTAATTATTCAAGTATACTTTTCTGCTGACTTGTAGTAAAGGCACCAAGGTGGTCTGGATCTAGCTAACCTATCTATAAACTATAGTGAATACCATAAAACTTTCCTTCCTTGAATATTTACTCATCTATTATTTCCTTCATTAACTCCTGTATGAGGAAGAGGTTCATCAATGGGCTCAGGGATTCTAAATATGCTCTCCTTTCCCTTAAGGGGATGCCATAGCCTACCTCTCCCTAACTCGTAGGCAATTCCTAAGTTTGTCTTAACTAAAGGCAGCAATCTTCTTTCAGTATCCCTATAATCTTCTTGAGTCAACTCTAGGGACTGAAGCAGGGGGATTATATACTAATAATTCTTGCTGTAACTTCTCTAGAATTTTCCAAGATTGCCTATTCTTAGCTACTTTACTAATTGTTTGAAACAAGAGAGGAGCATTTGGAGGAAGTCTAATATCGGGCAACTGAGTTCCCAGGAAATCATCCGTATCTAGTCTCTCTTCAGGTGGGCCTAATGACCTGAGTAGGTACAAAGCAGTTCCTCTATGAGGAAAGAACAGAAATAAAGACAGCAATGAAGACAAGAACTAAAGCAGAACAGCCAAGGACACAGCATGCTTTTTTAACACAGCCATTCTCCAGGAAGCATTCTTCCTTTGAAGTTTTCTCAGCCTCGACCCACGGAGAGTTCCTCACACAGGCTCCACTGGAGATGGCATGACAACATAGTGAATTCCAAACCAGCCAGGGCTACGTAATGATACCTTGTTTCAAACAAAAACCAGTAATATTGGTAGTACTAAAATCATGGTCTCAGTGTGTTCTGACTGCTCTGTTTTCTGCACTGATACTGACACTGACAGTTTTGGACATATGCAAGTAATCAAGGAGTGTTTGAGTTTAAAGATGAAAGATGTGTTCACACATTTCTGAAATACTATGTATTTCAAGTCAGAAAAAAATGTTCATACTGTAGGTAAAGTGTAAGCAATTGTACATGTAGAATACTGTGTGTGAACTCTGGATAGTAGGAGTAAAGGCAGTTTTCTGTATGGTCTTGATGCTTTTCCTAGGTCACTTAGCAGTCTACTTACTGTGTTTCTGAAGAGCAGTACCATATAGCCCTTCCCTCCTGGCACTGGATAAGAGAGCAGAAAGGCCAATAGTGAAAAATTAGAATTGTATCATTTACATGAGTTCCTTATATATTCTAGAAGGAAAATACCAAAGTTTTGAAGTAATGATGACTAACTTCTAAGACCCCTTTCAGAACAAGGAAGAGGTGATTACTTGAAAAATCAATCTTGTAGTGTCAGTTATCTATTTTGTTTGTTTGTTTGTTTGTTTGAGACAGAATCTTACTATATAGCCTTGATTGGCCTGGAACTCACTATGTAGACCAGGCAGACCTCAAACTGAGAAGTCCAAGTGCTGAGATTAAAGGTATGTGTCACCATAACTGGCATTAATTACCTTTAATGAGAAGAGAATTTCTAGATTCCTGTCTGTGATGGTTAATAATGATGTAACAGTAAATGCACCAAGAATATTCCCTAAATGCCATTTTTCTAAAGAAAAGGATAGTATCTTGAGAATGGCAACAAGAGTGTGCAAAGTTCCCAGCGTCCCTTAGGGAAGTGTAATTGAGCATCAGATGAGCTGGCTGGGGTCAGAGGTGAGAATACTGATCGGCATTAATAGAGGAATGTTATTTCTGCTTTTGCCATCCATTTATACAGTTTCAGTGTATGCAAAACCCAAGAGCCCCTTGCCCAATAGATTGTGAACCTTTACCTGGTGTCAGGGATGGAAATTTTTATCTCAAGCAGAAAGTGTATGTGTGTGTGTGTGTGTGTGTGCGCGCGCGCGTTGTCTTGTTTTGAAGAAAGTCTTGGGTAAAGCAGAAGGGTTACAGAGGTGTGTTTTGTAGCTTAAGCATACTTGATGAGTATGAATGTCCTCCTCTGTCCTGCTTTCCCATATCACCCCAGCCTTTATACATAGCACAGCTCCCTTGGCTATTTATCTGCTTCTTAAGTGGGAAAGTTTCCCTGGATCCTACTTAAGGGGTGGTACTGTAGTCTTTGCCACTCTGGTCTCAAGAGAAGGGTACTTTTGTAAACTCTGTTATGTTGGTAGGTCCATTGCCTTCTTTCCTATCCATCTCCTGCAATTAGGAACATTTTTTCCAAGTCATTGGTATTGGGAGGAATAAACAAGTAGGGCAATAATGGCCTCACCTCTCACAGTGGGTACGTTGTTGGGGGGGGGGGTACAGAGGCACACTGCTGCCTCCTTTGTAGACTGATGCCAGCTATCCCAACCCCTTATCTGCTTTTTGGCATGGCTGGTGGCTCCACTGGATGCTGTGTGTTCAGAGCCCACCCAAGACTTTCTTTCATTTGATGCTCTTAGGAGCATCTCACAGTGACCCTTTAAGCCTCATTGTCCACCAGTGCTGGCACTGCCCTCTTGCACATGGACTTCTCTTTCACCTCTCAGGTGTATTCTTGCTTCATATTTCCAGGTGGCATAAATAGTGCCTCTTCTCTCCTATTGCTTTCAGCATTTTCTCCCCCAGTGTCATGAATGTTCTAGAAGGTCTTCTTCATCTCAGAACTGTCCCCATGTGGTAGTAAAGTCTTTTCTCTGTGCTTCATTGCACTCTCCCATTCTAGTGTCTACATAACTCACAGACTGATGCCATGTTGCCATCGCTGGTTATCTAGCAGGAAGAAGAGATCACATCCTTCTGCCTCTAGCCAAGCTGAAGTTGAACTGTCCATTGCCTTTACAGCTGACATTAAAGAGCATTTGAACTCTGATCTCATGGACAGTGGACACATACACCCTTGATATCATTCCTCCAGCAAGACATTCACCTCTTCTGACTGGCATACTTTTTTCCCAGTGCCAACTTTTGCTCTCTGAGATGGAGGTGGAGGAGGGTCTCCATAAGCAGGTCATGGCCCACTGCACTCTGGTTAGCTGAGCAGTCAGACATCAATGTGTTGATTGCTTACTTACTCCTGGAAGAGAAAAGGTGGCAGACACTATTATAATCAACCACCCCAATCAAAAGTTGTTTCAAATATTGTTTATGTCTTCTGCCTGTAACAATTCCAGCTGTCCTTGACAAAGCTACTGCCAAGGCCTGGGCCCTGGAACTTACTGTTTATACAAGTTCATTATTGTTTTGATTTTGATTTTCCTGGGGAAATCATTGTAAACAGTTAAGTCCTCAGAAAGACCCCTGCAGTGATAAACATAAACACAGACTTGTCCTGCAATAAATCTCGCAGTAGTCCAAATGTAACCCTGGATGGGAAGGGAGCCATGGATGTAGGTAGAGGAATCCGGAAGCTCAGGACTGTCCCAGACAGATAAATGGAGCAGGACAACTTGGGAAGCTCAGGATTGTCCCCATCTCACCTCCTCACATGTTCTTCATGGCTGAGCCATGGGACACTGTTCACTCTGGCCTACAGCTATGAGGCAGCAAACCACCCGTTGACTGCTTTGCAGGCACACTGTGCTGGCAATAGCAGACACTGATATGAGTGCTCCAGGAGAAAGGCTTGTGTGCCTTCCATGTTCAGGAGTTATGATCTAGTCTCTAAAGTACAAATATAAATGGCCAGGCTTCAGTTGACAGCACTCTTTAGTCAAGTCAGGGCTCCTTTGAGAAATTCTTGCCATTGTAAGAATTCCTGTCTGAAAGAAACAGGACTCCGTCTCCAAAACAGCCAGAGTAGCCATGGGAAGAGCTGTGACTAGTTTTAACACAACTACCAATTAGTGCATTAGTAGAATTCATAGCCAGGTGAAGCAGAACTCACCCCATCATGCCTCGGTTAAAAGGCCATTTCCCTCACATGACATAAATCATATAGCACAGAGTCAAAAAGGGTTGTTTGTTTGTTTGTTTGCTTTTGGTCTTTTTTGAGACAGGGTCTCCTGTAGCCTGGAGACTTGCTATGTAGACCAGGCTGGCCTCGATCTCACAGAGACCTGCCTCTGGCTCCTGAGTGCTGGGATTAAAGGCATGCACTACCATGCCCAGCAGAGTCAGGAAGTTTTCAAGTGCCTTTTAATTCCCTCCCAGGCCAGCATGGGCTTCTCTGCATTTCAGATGATGACAGTTGACAGTAACAAGAATTTGTTCTTACATGGTACTTACTGTTGCTGGTTCCCAAGTCACTTACACACATCATCGGAAGCACAGAGTGGCCCTATGTGGCAGACACTTCACTCTCACGTGACAAATAAGCATATTAAGGTAAAGAGAGGTGAAATAGAGGCCATCCATTTGCCAGGTGACAGAGCCACATGGGAGCCCCTGAGTCTGGTCAAGGCGTACCTGTTCTCTTGGCCACACAAACAGTCCAGCACACTTGATGCTATTTTCTAGGAAGAGAATGGAGACTATACCTATGTGGAAAGAGTGAAGATCCCCTTGGATCACGGGACCCTGCTCATCATGGAAGGGGCCACACAGGCTGACTGGCAGGTGAGGATGTGCACCCACTCATTGTCTCTCTTAAAGCAGTTTCGGGACTGGCCAAGGAGTGTTTATTTCCAAGTGAGCTTGGAGGGAAAGCAAGTGCTTATAATGGGCAATTAGTGGTAAACTGATGTCACTCCCAAGGAGTTTTAAGACTACCAACAGTCAGACTAGACCTCTGAGCAGAGGTGTCGATATCTTTGCTGCCACATAAAAAGTGACCAGTATGAACAAAAGCCACATATTTTCATTAAATAACTATAGCAGCAGTGGCTTCACACAGGACCTCACGGCACCACAGCTAGTCCAGGTACAGACACCAGCATGCCTGAGAGGAAAAGCAGCAGAGAAGATGGAAGTCTTGCTGCAAGGACATAGGCACAGCCTGGTGGGGTCAGCTGGAAATTTGTTTCAGAGAAGGAAACTATTTTCCATAGGACTGTAGAAAGGTTAATGCTCAGTTAAACAGGGATAAAATGGAAATATTTCCATATCCTCATAAATAAGTTGTAGGTTGCTTTGAACTAAAAAAAAAATGTGTCTATATTTATACCAGTCAGCTATTTATATTTCCATTTAGCACCGAGTGCCCAAGGAATACCACTCAAGAGAATCCAGAGTAAACCTGACCTTTCGGACCATTTATCCAGACCCCAGAGGGGACCTCCAGTGATGGGAGATCTCTGTAACAACGCTACAGGGAGGGCCATGTGCTGAAACCCAGCGCCCCCCATGCCCCCGAAGACCCTTGAGAAGTAGCACCATGTGCTCTCACGATGTGGCTGTTTGGAAATGGTGGCCCTTGCTTCCCAGGTCCTAGTCCTTCCAAGACCATCACCAGTGCTTCCTGTTCCATGGCTGCTGAGATAACCTCTGAACCAAGCATTGTCATGAGGCAAACTGAAAACTGCTACAGTGTGCTCACAGGTGACTTGGTCCATTAGCTGTCTTGCTCATGCCCTCCCCGCTCTAATTTGAAGAAATACAAATGGTCTTGTGTTCCTGGGGAAAATCTGCACGTGTTTGTTCCTTGTGACATTAGCGAAGTGGAGATATAAATATGTGTCAGCAGCTCTGGAGCCTTCTGCAAGCGGACAGCTGCTGAAACCCAAACAGAGGTGGCTTCTCAGAGCTTTGTTGAAGTCTTCCTTGACTCCTTAACATCTTGCCTTATATGTTATTGTAATGGAAAGCTGCATCATCAGAGACTGTTAAGCTGAGTCTCCCAGCTGTCGGTCTTCCTGGGGCATACTCAGAAGGCTACAGGCCTCAGAATAAAGAGAAGGTAGCGTGCTCCTGTCCACACCCCACTCACCTGTACCCCTTGTAAGGAAAGAATGCTGTCTCCTGGAAGGGAGAAATAATAGGATGTCAAGAGAAACAGGCTGAAAGTTTGGCCAAAGAGCCACAAATGCCCTATTGGTGACAACTGTTCCAAATAGATTGGCTTCCCCTAGAGAATTCCTTGAGTCATTTAAACCCAAGCCGAGAGAATCAGAGAGGCCCTGCAGGGAATAGCCTGGGTGACCTCATGCTCTCCTCACCTTAGATTTCAGAAGCTGGTGACTAAGGCGCTTTTCTGACTCAGTGTTCTCTTTTCCACAGGTTCCTAGGTTAAAGGGTTAGTCTGTGATGTCACCAAGATTCCCCAAACAGAAAAAAAAAATGACTGCTCCTTGTTGCATCATAAAAGCATGTGTCTCCTTGACCTCCTCTCTCAGGAGCAGTGTCCCAGATTAACTCAAACCCCAGAGAGTGAATTTCAATGGTCAAAAATAGGACACGGGTGTTAGAGTTTCTCTCTCCCCACTGGGAGGAAAATTTATATTTCCTTCTTGAGTTTTGTCCTGTTACCATTCCACACAGTGAGATGGGTGGTCCCTGCAGTCGTGGGAGAGTGCCAGAGACTGCACAAGCTTGCTCTGAACTCAGATGGAGCCAGCCTGGCTCAGGCTCTGTTCTCCCACCAGTTCTCTGGCTTCCTGTATCAGTCTCTGCTTTTTAAAAATATGTATAGCTCCTTTCTGTAAGAAATACAAAATGCTGTAAACAATTTGAGCATCATACTAAGCTTTCCGAGGAAGAAGGTATGAATCAATCACCAAGAACACAAGGCCTTTATTCAGCTGTTCTCCAGTTAACTCCAAGAAAACCTGGCCAGGATGGTAGGACAGGCTTGGACTAGGAGTTTGACAACTGACACTGGGAAATTCCTTTCCCTTTCCTCACAGACGAAAGGCCTGGCAGATGGTTCCAAGTCATCCAGTACCCCATCCCCACTGTAGGATGTTGATCTCCCTTACATCAGCCAGCATCTGATCTCTGCCCTCATTACACCTCTGTCTGTCAGGGGGACAGATTCTTTCTCTCCAGCAAACAGGCTGGGCCTCCACCTGGGTTTCAGTTAGAGCAAGTCCTAACTTTTGTTCCTTCCTGTTACTATAGACTCCGTATGCCCCGGGCACCGTCCATTTCCACCACTGAGATCCTGTCCCTTTTGAAATGCCAAGCAGATTTTTTTCCATGGACTAGAACTGCAGGGATGGACAGGAAAAACAGAGCATGCAATGTACAGTCACTGTAGCAGCCTGCTGTAGATCCTGCCTTAGCACTGGGGTTGAGCTGCCTTTCTAACACAAAACATGTAAAACAAGAGTAAGCTAGTACACAGCTGTGTAGCATGGAGAAAAACAAGTTTTATTTTTTAGTTGCCCTTTTCTATGAGCTTCAGCAGGCTGCAGGCCCTGTCCTGGGCACTTGCTTTCATACATAATCTCTAATCTTCCCCACATCAATTACCTTGTGTAGACAAGAAACTGAGTCTCTAAGAAGCATTTTAGTAAGGACTTGTGACTGGTTGTGCCAGATTTCAAAGCAAGCTAATCCTTAAGCATGTATGCCTTTTGCACTTCCATGTGGAACTGAGGTGGAATCCTCTGAGGTCTCCTTGCTGGGAACCCAAGTCACAGGCCACAGCCAGCTTCAGGCCACCTGGGGGTCCTCTACTTTGTTGTGCATCAGGGCAGCTACCTGCATCTCATGTCTGCTCAGCCAATATAAACAGCTCCTAGTCAGAATCTGTACTGCCCACTGGATTAGCAATTGGCTGTTTAGCTGGGAAACCTAGTTTAAGGAGCTAGAATTCAGTTTGGGATGAATTTAGAAACAATCTCAGCCAACCTCTCCAGCAAATGGTTTCCGATCATATCTAAGCAGGTACATCTTGGAATTTAACAGGTGAGTGAATTTCTCCCTGTGGTCCTTTCTGTGAGTACATGTGGGGACCCCTGAAAGGATAAGGCTTCTTAACATAACTACTTTGGTCAGCAGACAGCACCCTAGAAATGTCTTGACAGTAGGCACTGCCCCAAGGCACATGTGGGACAGCGTGACTCAGCCACTGCTGAAACCGGCACTGCTTTGGTCCAGGTTCCGTAGCTCAGCTGATGATCCCCACCATGTTTGGGTCAGGACTAATAAATGAATGTCCTCTAGGCTCCTACTCCCTGCTGCCTCTGTGTGACGGCTTTGACTCTGCCCTAGTACCTGGCAGGTCAGTCAGAACCCTATCATCCATGGGCCCAGGTTGCTGAATGGTGTCATAACCCTCAAAGAATTAAGTAGGCCTGTGCTGAGCAGAGTGCTTCCCATGGAGGGTCAGAGAAAAGCCGGACAGATGATGGGCCCTGCCTGCTGGGAATACTTCTTAAGCTCTGGCAGCTTGTTCTTGGCTGCAGAATATCCAAGACCCACTTTGCCTTTTCTGGTCATAAACACTTTGGTAGTGTTGAATCTGAAGTCCTGATTATTTTTTAAGGTTCCTTTGAAAAAGCTAGTTGTTTCCATAGTGATGCATTCTGTTTGTTAAATCCTTATACGTGATTCCACCCACAGACTCCCCTCCAAGGGACTAGTTTACAACAGCCCTTTCCCATTTTCTCTTTGGAAGAAACACCCATAGGAGACCCCTGTTAGATTTGTGCTGCAGGAATCTGCTCTTAGATAAGATTGCTCAGTCTATAGGGGTTAATAGGCAAATGGCTTTGATGTTGTTTATTAGTGTGAAACATAGGGTAATGTGCTTTTCCCAGTTGATTAGTAGTCACATGCCTGAGTGTTACAAAAGCCTTTCCCAGCCTCTGACCAAAGCCCCAGTTTGGGCCAGGGAATTTGTTAGTGTTTGAATCTGGGATAGGCAATGTGAGAGAACCAGCTAGGAAACAAGGTGAGTCAGGGAGTCCTTTGTACTACTACAGAAACCAGTCTTCTCCAGCCATCCCCCTTGACCTGGAAGAGGGGCATGTGATATCATCCTAAGGATGCAGTCTGCTATCATTCCCCCTCCTGGGAATAGTGATGTCACTCAGCACAGGGACAGTCCCAGTTCTCATGTGGCCTCAGGAGTATGTGTCAGCCCAAGAAGGACCTTGGCCTCAGCTTCGACCCCATTGACTTGGCTCTGAAGACAAATCCTGAGGTCTGAAAAGGGACAGAAGGGAGCCCAGAGAGCAGCTGGGCTGTTGGGCCCACTGCCTCAGATCGGAATTCACAGCCTCACCTGAGTTATATTTTCTAAATGCCCAGGGAAAATGAGGCGCCTAGAAGACTTAACGGTTCCGGGGCTGGAGAGTGTGGTGGGCGGAGAGCCCGGTCCAGCTGCGTAGCAGAGCACCTTGGTCGGAGCGCGCTGACTGGGGCTCACAGCCGCAGGGACCACGGAGGAAGACGTGGGCCGCGGGCGCCGGAGGGCCGCGAAACCGGGAGCAATCAGCCGCCCACCAGGAAGGGCGTGGGCGCACAGTGACGAGCTTGCCGCCCCCTGGGGCTCCAGCGGCACAGCTAGCCAGAACCCTAGCAGCGCAGCCCAGGGGCCTGCCGCGAGCTTGGCGGCCTCGTCTTCTCAGAGGCTGCAAACAGGAAGGGCCGCCTCCATCGGACAGTGGCCTCCGTGGGATCCGCGCCACCAGCTCCAAGCCCCCTGCAGGAGCAAGGCTGCACACGCGCGCGCACACACACACCACACCCGTGTTGAGGAGACACACACACACACACACACCCGTGCTGAGGAATGCTGGTGGGGTGGTGTACGACCCAGGGCTGTACCCACTGCGGGACCACACTGGCCTGGAGAGGCACACCACTCACACAGGCCAGAGGGCTCCGTTGGGCGCCTTCCTGAGATGCTGCCTCTGAAAATGTATCACGGCATTAGAGTCCATTTTCTTCCCAGCACCTCCTTCTGACCTTAGCCTTCAGCCTCCGTTCACTGTGAGGGAGAAGGGGAAACAGCAAACCACCAAAGGCTTGCTGAAGAGGTGGGCCAATGGGAACGCAGTCCCTTTCTCTCCCTGAAGTCCTGCGGTGTGTAGGGACTGCTTCCTTCACTGAATTCTGGGATCTCTCAGCCTCCTAAATATCCCGGGGCAGTACAGGATGAACACATATCAGCTGCCCACCCAGGGTTCATCTGCCACTTCCGACTGACCTAGTGAACTTGGGGGACAAGGAGCAGCCACAGAATGGCCTATTGGGGCTGCCCGCCAACAGCACTATTGTTGGTCCTCACAGTGGTTCCCAACCAGGTGGTTCCCAACTGTTGAGGACCACTGTGTAATGCACTGTACCAACTGGTTAGTTCATTAGGTAGCAGCACCTCCTGGGTCAAGGCCGGCCTGGGTTCATGACCCCTGGTTTGCAGGGGGACATGCCTCTTTCAGTCACAGTGCTGTCTAGAAGGGCAGGATTAGGGAGCAGCTTGACAGCAGCAGCTCCACTCCAGCCTCCTCTATGAAGAGGAAGGTTCAACCTGGACTTGTACCCCAGCTCTGCCCTTCCCAAATCACCTGGGAGCAGCCAGGCAACCTTCCAACCTGTCTCCTCAGCCACAAGCCACAGAGCATTCTCCTCTAAGGGGCCTTGAAAGGGTTGACATCATGCTTGTCATGTGCCTGATGGTAGCATGCTAGTAATACAGTTCTTTGGGGACTGGAGAGGTGGCTCGGCGTTAAGAGCACTGGCCACTCTTGCAGAGCATGGGGGTTCAAATCCCACATGGCAAACAACCGACAACGGCCTTCATCTGTCTTCTGCCAATACTGCATGAGATGCAGGTGCACTTGCATGCAGGTCATATACTCATACAACTAAAATAAAAATAAAGGATTTCTTGGGGAGGGGGTTGATTTGTTTTTTGAGACGGTGTCCCTATAGTTCCAGCTGGGCTGGAACTTACTGTGTAGACAAGGCTGGCCTTGAATTCATAGAGATCTGCCTCCTGAGGCCTGGGGTTAAAGAGGTGTACCACCATGCCCAGCATATAGTTTGTTTTGTTTATACAGTTCTTTTAAGTAAAACACTTCAAAAGCCGTGCTAGCCTTAACCTTAACCCTTCTGTTGACTGGGAGGTCCTTCTGTGACTGGTGTACAGCCCTGTGACCCTGCCCATTCCCTGGGTGCTGGCCACCATGCCTCTATTGCAGTCATTGAGGTTGGGGGTGGGGAGGCTTTCCAGAGGATGACCAGAATGAAAACTGTGGGGCCGATCATGTTAACACTTAACTCCCCTTGGACATTCAAGCTGAAGAGAGCTCCCAGATGCTAAAGTGGCCCTGCAATGGTGCTCAGCTTGCTCATGGCAGCCCTGCCATATGCTCCTCAGGTAATTGGTCTCCTGATGCACCCATTGTGGCTGGAGCCTAGGATTCCACCGCCTCCTCTCCCTGAGGCCATTTATTGGTGTCTGTCAGCTCGGCAAACAGGTCACCCACAGTCTAGGCAGAGATACACTCCCAGCCAATGCATTGTTTCCTTCTGCTGGAGGGCCTTTTATAAACCCTGTACCAAACACCTCAGCCCAGAAGATGAAACAAGATTGGCAGGCTGGAGCTCTTAGGACTGGGCTTTTATGTCCAGAGGCTGTCAGATGCAGCAGTGGACAGATAAAAAGGAGAAAAAAACCCTTCCATTAGAAAAGGAAGTAAACCAGCATGGTTTTTATTTTCTCTTGAAAAATTAGTGGTATTTCCCCCCTCCTGATCTCAAAAGAAGTGTGTTCTTTGCAAGAAATTAAAAAGATAAAATCACTTTGTAACTTCATAAGCTTCACAGTTGCAGTGTTTTTTCTGTGTACTATAATTGTGAATTCGTAGTCCTGTGTTTACCTTGGTGTGAGACATTAGTCACAGTTTTACAGCATTGCTAAGTGGCCACCCAGTGTAGCAGATACATGTAGTGCTGTTTGCCAGTGGTAGTGTGTTGGATATTTAGGCCCTTGTGGATCTTGTGCTGCTTTTGCAATAGCTGGCTTCTGATTTGGACACCATGAGAATGGATGGTGGAGGGCAGGGTGGTGGTACAGCTAACAGCCCAGACTTTGGCTGTATCAGACCTCAACTCAAGAACAAGAGATAGGTATCGTGTTCACCGGGGCAGATGCACCAGGCACCTTGTGAAGTGTTTTACATATGTTAACACATGACTTACTTGCTATTGTAAGTGGGACACTATTATGTATGTTCATGTGGGTGCCCATATGTGCATGTACATACAGAGGCCAGAAGTCAACTTCTATTGTCATTTCTCAGAAGCCTTCCACCTTGATTTTTTTCAGAGTCTCTCACTGGTTGGCCTGGAGCTTGATTAGGCTAGGCTGGCTGGCCTTCAAGCCCCATGGATCCTCCTGCCTTTGCCACCCCAGCTCTGGGATTACAAGCATTTATACCAGGCCTGGCTTTTACGTGGTGCTCTAGTTTTCTTTCTATTTCTTTGATAAAACATTGACCAAAACCAATTTGGGGAGGAAAGAAGTTTTTGTTGTGAGCATGTCTGTGATTGTTTCTTTCAATGGATTCCTTAAAGTCTCTGGCCCCAAGCTGGAAGGCTATGCATTCGTTGTTGTTTTAGTTTGGAGTTTGTTTTTGGTTTTTTTGTTTTGTTTTTTGTCTTTTTCAGTCAGGGTCTCCCTGTAGCTCCAGCTGGCCTAGAACTTGCTCTATAGACCAGGCTGGCCTTGAACTCAGAGATCCACCTGTCTCTGCCTCCCAAGTACTGGGACTAAATTATTTTTAAGGCTTTGAATACATAATGCAAGTAGTTTCCAGAAAGGTGCACCCACCTGCTTATCATTCTACCACGGGGTGTGAACCCATCTGAGAAACTGAGCAGCCAGCAGCTGTGTGCCAAGGCACACATTCTAGAACCCTTCCCTGCATGAAGGAAAAGCAGCCCCATGCAGCCTGAGGAACTCAGTAGATTGCAGCCAGAGTTAGCATAATGGTTGTTATATTTTGTGTCATTTGTTAGGACAACAAGACACACCATTGAAGAACCATAGGACTAGGGTAACCATGAAACAAGGGGCTCTGAGAATGGAGTCTGACAGAAGGTAGCATAATGTGGGGTGGTGGTCATAGAGGGCTTCTTGGTGGAGGAAGCACTTGGAGAATGGAGAAGACTTTGCAAAGTGGCAGTGGGTGAAAGGCTTACGAGCAAGGAAGGACCCTAGGTGGTTTGTGTCTAGGGGACATTTGCGTGGGGAGTGTTGAGCTGAGTGAGATGACAGAGGGAAAGATGGGCCTGGAAAGGGCAAGGAGCTTCCTCAGGCAAGGGCTTGGGGTAGGGGGCCTCAGAGGACTGGGGCGGGGGGCTGAGTTTTAGGAAATTTTAGGAAAGCATACTTATTATATGTGTGGTTTGCTATTGAAATGGCCCCCACAGGGCTTTGTTTCAGACTCTTGTTTCCCAGCTGGTGGTGCGGTTTTGTGAGACTGTGGAACCTCCAGGAGGTGGGGTCAAGCCGGAGGAAGTAAGGTCACTGGAGTCATCCCCTGAAGGTTACACCTGCCTCTTGTTTCCGTTGCTTTCCACCATGATGTGAGGAGCGCCCATGACATCCTCTAGCCATCATGAACTCCACCAGGCCTTCCACACCATGATGGACTAAAAGGCCTCTGAAACCAGGATTCAAAATAAATCTTTCCTCCCTCAAGTTGTCTCTGTCAGGAAGTTTAATGGCAGAGATGTGAGTCACTAATACAAGGCTGGAGTGAGGTGGGGTGTGAGATGGGAGATGGGAAGACCAGGAAGTCTGTGGCAGGCAGAGCTGTACTATGTGGCCTGGTGGCTGCCTCTGGGGATGGTGTGCAGAGGTGCCAGGTTCCTGGTGCTGGAGATAGGTGCCCTTACCTGCTAAGTCCTTGGGTGGGAAGAAGGCTCCAGGCCAGCTTACAGAAGGTAGATGCCAGCTCTTTCCCGGCCTCCCCCAGGGGACACCCAGAAGCTGGACAAAATGTGCTCTCTGAAGTGGCAGACGTAGATGTGGGCAAGAGAGAGATCCAGTTCCACATTCACCCCACAAAGCTCCTCTCCAAAACTCCACTAGCAGATAAGAGTCCCTTCTCTTGAGAAAGTCAGGTCAGGAGAGGAGTCGATGGTGCATTTCCAGCTTTCTGGGTCCTGGGGGTGAGTGATCCTTTGTCATTGCAGCATAAGGTAGGAGTTAGGTTCCCCCAAGCTGTCCTCCTCATTAGGAGGCTGTCAGCAAGCTGCCGGGCAGGCAATGTGAAGAGGTCAGTGTCCAACAGACCTAGCTCTGTCTCAGCACCTCCCCTCTGGCTTCGTGGCCTCTGGTAAATAGTAGAGTCTGAGATGTCAGCCTGTGAACCATCTGCAAGGACTAAGAGGGAGGGTATCAGTCTGCCTCATTGTGGCTCTTCTGTGGACCAGTATGTAATGTGGAGGAGACACACACACACACACGCACCACACATAGACACACACCTGACTCGGGGTGGAAGGGCTTGTGGGGCTTTGGGAAGGACTCCCTGCCAAGGAACAGCTGCTGTATATGTGGGCCTAGGACAGGCCTCGGGTAAGGAGGACCCAATCTGGCAAAAAGAAGTGGTGTGGCCACTGTGTGTGTTGGGACGGGGCGGAGAGAAAGCCAGACCCTGGTGTTCCCACAGGGAGGGGCTGGAAGGAGGGAGAGCAGTGGTAGAGCCTGGGAAGGAACAGTCCTGATAGGAAAGTGATTGAGAACATTTACCACAGCAGCCAGACATAGTGCTTCTCTCCCACCCTGTCCTTAACTCTTGCTTCTTCCCCATCTAGCCTGGGAACAACAATGGGCCACAATTAACAGGGCAGACAGTGTGGAAGGGAATAGGCAGCAAGAAGTCCAGCCTGTGTTCCGCTGCAAGAATGCTCCTGGGCAGTTCCTTTTATCTTGGGCCTCAGTTTCCCCATCTGTATGATACAGGGCATGAACCCATTAATAAGTTTTAAGGACTATTTGTTTGTTTGAGACAGAGTCTCACTACGCAGCCCTGGCTGACCTGGAACACACTGTGTAGACCAGGCTGGCCTTGAACTCACAGAGATCTGCCTCCCTCTGTCTCCCAAGTGCTGGGTTTAAAGAGATGCACCACCATGTCTAGCTTTAAGACCTTTTTGATAACAATTCATAGTTTAAAGGGGAGGGGTGATTAGTCAGGCATGGTGGCATATTCCTTTAAACTCAGCACTTGGAAGGCAGAGGCAGGCAGATCTCCATGAGGTCCAGGCTAGCCTGCTCTATATAACAAGTTCCAGGCCAGCTGGGGCTACAGGACTATTATTTTTAAATATTTTATTTATTATTTTTATTTTAAGTGTGTGAGTGTGTTGCCTGCATGTATGTAAGTGTACCCATGTTGTGCAATGCCCTCAGAGGTCAGAAGAATGCTTTGGATTCCCCTGGAACTGGAGTTACGGATGGTTGTTAGCCTCCGCATGTGTGCTGAGAATCAAACTGGAGTCCTCTGCAAGAGCAGCCAGTGCTCTTAACTGCTGAGCCATCTCTCCAGCCCCCAGAGCTTTTTTTTTTTTTTTTAAAAAAAGGAAACAAACATTTACACACACAGACACAAGAAAAACCAGTTATGAAATAATCCAACAATCCTTGACATGCATTTACTCTGGAATTTTGTGTTTAGTTTTGAATTAGTAAAAACGTCTTGGTTGTGGCCCACTAAGCCCCATAGTCTAGAACAGCTCCAGCTTACCTGGATACTCCTCCACTCCAGCAGCCTGTGGTTTCCATTTCCTGAGATCTGATGGCCTCAGCAGCTGAGTCTTGCCGTCCTTGCCTCTGCAGACCATGGCTTCTGACCTCAGGTGGCACTGGTTGGGGGAGGCAGGTTGTGGGTATTTTCAGGTGGAGGAGCTGCAGGTGTACCGCCCCTGGGGCCCACCGTCCTTCCAAATTCACAGCCTGCGGGTACTTACTACCATGCTATGACCTAGGACCAAGGCCATATGAAAGTCCTGTTTGCAGGTGTCTGCAGGGTCCATCCCATGGCAAGTTAAATAAAAATGAGTTTGTACCAAGCTAGAGACAGCTGTGAGCTTGACACACCTCTGTCATCAGGGGCTGCTGGTCCAGGGCTACCCTCTCCAGACCTTAGAAGGTGGTTCTTTTCTGGGTTCCCAATTCAACAGCCACACCCTTGCTCTCATCAGCTGCAGAGCCCAGGGTTCTGAAAGCCCTGTGACTTGCCATGATGACACACCACAGACAGTAGCAGCTCTGCACAAGGCTTCTATGGATAGAAGGGACTTGATCCTGCCTGGGAAAGCTTCTGACAGTCTGCCTTTGAGGCACTGGCTCCAGGTCACCCTCTGCTCAGGTTGCTGACATCTCAGAGACTTCCAAGACAATGCCTGCCTCCTCCTGCTCCCCCCCTCACCACCCTCCCCTCTTCTTTCAGTGAGATCTTTGTTTCCCAGACTGTCCCAATCTGGATTGAAGCCATCATTCTGCCTCATCCTCCTTAGTAGAGACATGTACTTTAACCTGGGGACATAAAATATAACTGGAACTTGCTTTATGGAATACATGTTTCTGACTTGTGGTTCAACAGTGGCAGAAAAATGAAGCTGTGAGCCCAGGCTTCATGCTTACTAGCTGGGGCAAGTCCCTAGGCTTCAGTTTCTCCAGACAGACAGAATCCTGTCCTCTCTGAAAGCAGCAAGGTTTGGGGTGAAGTCCAAGGCTGAGCCACATCCTGACTCCCTGCCTTGCCGCTTGTTGTGTGGCCTTAGTCTATCTCCCTCTCCTCTCTGGGCTTTTCTGACTCCATTTCAAAAGTGAGCGAAGATTATAATTGATTTGCTGAGGTCACAAAGGAGAAACCATGTTGCAGAGCTCAAGTCTGTGCAGCATCTTATCCCTGATGTGGTGACTCTGAAGCTTGTGGTCTCAGGAAGATTCACGCCTGTGAGGTCAGAGCCCCGGACCTGGGCTGGGGATGTGGTGGGAAGGGCCTTAGAAAGGCCCTGAGCTCCTCATTACTCCCACAAGCACAACTGGGACACAGGCTGGACATGATGCTCAAGAGGGTCCCCCCCCACTCCACTCCCAGAATTCCCAAGAATGTCCCACTCCAATCCCCAGCCTGGTGGTCCCTGGGCCACATCTTGATGGCTGCAGTCCTGCCACGTCAGCCCCTGCTGCATGTCAGCAGCTGGTGTCCCATTGCCCCAGGGACTAAAAAGCCCAGATTGGGCAGTGAGTTCATCCTAGCCTGCTGGGGGCCACTGGAGACAGAGGGTCTGACTTAAAGCCATCCCTGGGGCCTCCCTGGCTCCTCCCCCATCTCTCTGTCTTCCCATGCCTCTCTGCCCTCTGCTTCTCAGCCTCCCTCCCAGCTTGCAAGCCCTTCTTGGAGCTTGCTGGGGATTGTCATGGCAACCCTCCAGCCAAATTATCAAAGCACTTTTTTTGCTCCTGATTGTTCTAGAGAAAGTGCTAATTCTGAGTGAGGGAGAAGCAGTTGGTAGGATGCTGAAGTCACGGGCTTTGTGTGAGGGCCCGCTGCAGGGTGGAGTGAGCACCAGCAGGAGAGGAGTTGGGGGGGTGGGCAGCAAGACCATCCAAAATGGCCTGTCTGTTGCTTGCCTGCCGGAGATGTGTTGTTGCTGTCCCTTTCCCTCCTCGTATGTCACACACACAAGTAGCTGGGTCAGAAACACCCAAAGTGCAGACTGACCCAGACAGCACATCTGAAACAACATGGTTTGTACTGGGTGCCTGGATAGCTGAGACCCACTCTGGGAAGGCTTCTATTAGGGGATGGGATGTACCAGCTGACCAAGGCTGTGACTGGCAGTGGGTCTGTGCCAGGGGAGCACAGCAGCCTTTGGAAAGGGCCTGACCCTCTTACTCGAACCCAGGGAAACCAGAGGCAGACTCGTGAGCTAAGCCATCGGAACCCTGTTCTTGCTGTCACATGTCCTACCAGGCCTGGTTCTGCCTTCCTAAAACACCTTTAGATCTCATGTCACCCTGGGACCAGCATGCTGGAGAGTCCTTGGAAGCAGACCTCTATGCATAGCTGGAGAATTGATGGCAGCTTTTTAAATACCTGGTTCTGCCCCAAAGCCAAGGTGTGGGTGGGGACAGTGGAGGAGCTGGTGGCAGAAGTCACGCCCTGTGTGCCGCCATCTTGCCCCAGATGCTCCCCACAACCCCTCCATGGAGGGGATTCCTCCCTCAGCCACACCCAGGCCTGCTGGTCACTCTGGCTGGAGAGGAAGCATCTACTTCCTGTGAACAGGTCCCCTCATCCTACATCCTTCCAAAGATTCCAGTCCTAGAGGGGCCTAGCGAATCCAGAAGTGGCTCCCCTGCAGATGCGGAAACTGCAATTCAGAGATGGGAGCTGAGAAATACAATGGGTTCAAGACCACAGGTGGTAGGAGGTGGAATGGATATTGCAGCCCAGGCATCTGGCTTCTGGTCTGGTGCTGTTTCTGTCGGCACAGACAGCGGGGTGGGCTGGGGCAGGCAGTAAGTACGTTTCTTAGGTAAACCTGGCTTTGAGATTCTACTTCAGTACTCCAGTGGTCCAGGCAAACTCCCAAGCTCCCAGGGCCCCATCTGTAAAGCGAGGGCCCTTAAGAGGAGTCTGAGAAGGTAACTTAGATGCGGCAGTTGACGTACCAAGCACAGTTGGCCCAGAGTCAGGCACATGGTAAAATGCTCAGCTGATCACATTTCTGAGGGCTCTGTTTGCTTTTTTTAAAAAATTTTATTATTTTTATTTTATTTTAAAAAATATTTTTTATTTTTATGTGTATGAGTGTATTGCCTGCATGTAGGTAAGTACACCCATGTCGTACAATGCCCACGAGGACAGAAGAGGCCATCGGAGCCCCTGGAACTAGAGTTATGGACAGTTGTTAGCTGCCATTGCCTGTAGTATATGTAAGTGCACCTGTGTTGTGCAGTGTCCATGGAGGACAGAAGAGGTCATTGGATCCCTTGGAACTAAAGTTAGGACAGCTATTACTGCCATGTGGGTGCTGGGATTCAAGCCCGGATCTTCTGCAAGAACAATCAGTGTTCTTAACTGCTGAGCCATCTCTCCAGCTCCTTTTTTTTTTCTTTGACAAGGTCTCCAGCCAACCTAGAAGTCACTATGTGGACCAGGCTGGCCTTGATCTCACAGAGATTTGCCTGCCTTTGCCTCCAGAGGGCTGGGATTAAAGGCATGTGCCACCACGCCCTGCTTTTCTGTGGCTTCTGTAAATCCGTGGCTACAGCCCTGACAGGAAGATGACTGTCCACTGCAGCCAGGCCATGTACAAAAATAAGCAGTGGCCCCTGCCAGAGCTCCAAGCTCCTGCACGCTCAGCCCAGTGGGCAGCAGGAACCCAAAGCCTAGGCAGCTCCAGTGCCCAGCCTTCCCACCCTCACCAGGTTTGACCACCCCACCTTGCCTGTGAAAGAACAGAAGACCTTACTAGGGGATGTGGTGTCACATGCCTATGATTCCAGCACTTGGGAAGTAGGGGACAGAGGATCAGTAGTTTAAGATCATCTTTGGTTATAGCAAGATCCAGGTCAGTCTAGGCTACACGAGACCCTGTATCAAAACAAAAACAAAACAAAACAAAACTGGGGTTGGAGGGATAGCTCAGTCCTTAAAGTGCTTGCCAGGCAAGCTTGATGGCATGAGCTGATCTCCAGCTGCCATGTGAAAAGCTGGACGTGGTGGTGTATGCTTGTAATTCTAGATTAGGCAGGCAGCTGAAAGGACCTCTGGGGCTCTCTGGCTAGTACTAGCATGAGTCTAGGTTCCAGTGAGAGACATATAATTGGAGGGAAGAAAAACAATCAAAACCAATCAAACAGGTGCTGGCCTCTTTGCCTTTGGATGGTTGGTACATGAAGTTCCATTGAACAAAGGGTTAATGCCCCCAGAGGCCTCCCTTTGGGTATGGGCAGTAATACTTCTTAGTGACAGCTCTTCCCCCAAGCTGGGGGTGCTGGGAGGGCTCAGGCAGGAGATCAAAAGGTCAGAAGAGACTTGGACTTCATGCTAACACATAGACCACTGGCTCCCAGATACCACTTGTGCTTTCTGGGTGTGCAGCTGACAGAACAAGTCTATGGCAGAGTAGGGGTAGAATCTAGCTGTGTATCCTCCAGACTTGACAGTGACACTTCAAGGCTCTTGCAGGTGGGGTGGAAGATTCAGATATTGCAGAAAGGCTTCCTAAGGTGGGGCTAGTTCTTGAGCCAGCCTGAGGTAAAGGGTAGTAATGGATGGGATCGGCCAGGGCAGGACTGGAGACGGGCAGATTGAGAGTTTGATTCCCAGTTATTTGTTGTTGCTGCTTTTTTCGATGGTGTTGGGAATGGAACCCAGGGCCTGAAGCATGCTGGGTAAGCACTCTGCCATGGAGCCACACTATGGCCCTAGTGTTTGAGGGAGAATTCCATCTCTCCACCCTCACTGTTATTCCTAGAGGCCTCTGTGAGCAGTTTGGGGGTGGGGGGGGTGAAAATGACTTCATGGTTAATTTGGGATGCTTACAGTGAAGCACAAAACTCTCTTCCTATTTTCTCTGTCCTGGGCCAGGATTGGGAAACCCCTATCTAGGAGTGGAGAGGGGGTCACCTAGGGCAGCTGCCCCCTGGCTGGGAGCCTGCAATGCTTCCTGTTACACAGGAAAGCTTGACTGAGATGGCATAGTTCTCTCACTGGCCTGCCAGGATCCACAGGGTAGGGTGAGCATGGTGGTCCATTCCACAAGGACCCATGTGTCCTTTTGTGTGCCAGCTCTGTCCTGGGTGCTGGAGAAAGGCAGTGACCAAGGGTGACAGTCCAGTGAGAAAGAGGAACAACACAGACATCCACAAATATGAAGATTTTTAGATGGAGATGGGCATGCTGCAAAGTAAAAGGGGCTAGAGTGACCAAGGGAGTACCTTAAAGAGAATGAACAGGGAAGGTGTCACATGACACTGTGGGGGTGGCACTGCAGCCTAGACATCTGTGGGCAAACAGTGATTCACACAAGGCCACACAGTGGGTTCTTGTAGAGCCAAGTTAGGGCTGGCCTCCAAACTCTCCCCTCCTATGAGAACTCCTCTCTTGGATTCTGACATGTTCTCTTGATTTCTGTCATTGGCCTGGAGCTCACCCAGTAGCATGGGCTGACTGGCCAGTGAGCCATAAGCATCTGCCTTTCCTCACCTCCCTAGTTCTAGGATTGTAAGAGGAACAAGGGCTCATAACCACTAAGCCATCTCTTCAGCCCCCAAGCCTCTATCTGAAAAGTAGACATCCCCAATGACTCCCAAAGCATCCACCCCATCCCACAAGTCTCCCCTGAACTCTATCCTCACTTGACATCCCCATTTGGACATCTCACGAGTCTCTTAGGACAATGCCAAGTTGATATAAATTAGAATAGCTTTAAAATATTCTGGTTTTTTGATCACTCTGAGGAAAGTGTTTCAAGTTGGTACACAGCTTGGCTCTGTGTGGTCTTTGAGGGACCCAGATTAATGTCAGTGCTACCATTTTTAATGAAGCTCCATAGTCTGTTCATTGCTCTTCCAGCCAGGGCGAGGGGAAACCCATGGAAGGAATTTCCTCTTGGGCAAATGAGGTAGAAGGGACATACTGTTGCAGCCCACAGAGATGCACATTACACAGATACAACTTCAGGTGTGTGACACCACCCCCCTCGCTGCAGGAGACACCAAGGAATATGACCCAGCTGTGTGGACAGCTAGTGGGCTCTACCCAAGCCCACCCTCTAGAACTGTGGAGGAGGGTCCAGGTGGATGACCTGCTTGTCCTGTGTCTTCCTGATCCTTGACCAAACTGGCTGTTGAAAGCCTGTTCTCCCTGGAGGCTGACTTGGGATTGAACAGTCACAGGCTTCATTCAGGTATATCTGGTTTTAGACAGTTCCATGAGGCCATTAGCCATCCCCCAGAAATCTTTGCTGACTGTTCTCTGTCATTCTTGCTGGACCCATCATGTTCTCTGTTTTACAATGAAAGTCACCCCAAGGCCATGTGAAATGACAGACTTGGATAACGCCTGGGGTGACTTTAAGGACTTACCCTCTAGTTCAACAGGCAGTCTTTGACAGGCCTGGGTCTGATCCACTGCTCTTTGGATGTCTAAGTTGCTTTTCCAACCCAAAGGACATCCACTTTCTGGACACTGCTGATCTCATCTTGCAAACTTGCCAATCTCTTTCTTGTAATAGGTTGCTAAAAGCAGCGCCAAGCAGCCAACATATGCATTTTTTGGCTCCTTCCAATAATTCTTTTAGCATTATATGGGCTCCATAGACATGTGGTCTGATTCAAAATTATACATACAATGTTAGCTATAGGCATTTTATCCTATCATAACAAAGGTCCCCAGTTTTCTCTACCCTCCTGAAGCTGGCTAAGCCAGTGCTTTGGATTTGAAGTGTTTCATCTGGGACAGCTTCCCTCTCTTGGTACCTATATTGGTATTAGAGATACCGCTAAGCTAAAGGTGATTTGAAGTATAGTGGTCTTAACTTTAACAATTATAGAAATTGACTTTCCCCCTCTCACATGATATAATTATGTGATAAGCATTTCAAGTCTTACCCAGGTAGATAATGAGTTTTGATGGACAGCTTGTGAACTCCACCATGGTACTCCATCCCCTGACAGTCAACAGTGCCACTGAACACTTGCCAGAGCCAAATATATAAACGGTCTTCATCACCCCAGACCTGCCCCACACCTCATCTTCAGAGAAATCACAAATCTGACCACTTCCCTGCATCTCCGTGGCCTCAGTCCTAATGCAAGGCTTTAGTGGCCCAAATCTGAGGTCATGTGACAATCATCTAAGTGGGGTCCCTGCTCCTTCCTTGGCTTCTTTCCTTACAACAGAGTGAGTTTTTAAAATATTTTATTATTTTATGTGTATGAGTGTATTGCCTGCATTTATGCAAGTGCACCTGTGTTTTGTAATGCCCGAGGAGGTTAGAAGAGGGCGTCAGACTCCCTGGAAGTGGAGTTACAAACAGTTGTTCGCCTCCATGTGGGTGCTGGGAATAGAAACCAGGTCCTCTGCAAGAGCAGCGAGTGCTCTTAACCACTGAGCCATCTCTCCAGCCTCCAGAGTGAGTTTTGAAGAATATCAATTGGAGGATGTTGCTCCCTCACTGAAACCCCTTTAGTCCCTTACTGATGCCTTCAGGATGAAATTCTATTTCTAAGGCAAGGCCTCAAGTCCTATGTGACTATCTGGCTTCTCCTTTCTCCCCTTTCCTTCTTCTCCTTTAGCTACATGAGCTACCCTGTGGTCACTGAACACACCAATCTTACTGTTGCCTTAGTGCCTTGCACCAGGAGTCCTGATGTTCAAATGTTCATTTCCTTTCCTCTGCTTCGGCAAGTGGCTCATTCCCTCTTCACCTGCCACCAGCTGTTTAATTTTTCACATCTGTATAGTGGGTAAGAGAGAGGGCTCATGAGCCATGTTGCCTGAGTTTGAATCTCAGCTCTGCTGCAAATCAGCTTTGGGACTTCTGGGAGTTAGTTCATTCCTCTGTGCCTTTGTTTTCTCCTCTGTGCACACTAACAATAACAGTTCTGGCTACCCAGAGTTGCTGAAAATATAAAATGACTAACATTGAATTAAACAAGTTGATAAACATACTTGCACCCTGGCACATAACCTTAGTGTTATGACTGTGCTTCAGATGTCAGCTAAGTGCCACCCACTCTGGGAAGCCTCCCCTGGTGACAGACTCTGCACACCTCTCCCTTTGTATCTCCCCACCCCACTTGACTTCCACCACAGCAGGCGCTCTTCTTGATGTCTTTATGGACCCTCCACTAGAAGGTAGCTCTTATGAGGAAGGCTTCAAACTCTTTCTTTGGCTCCCTCCCTTCTTCTCTCCCTCCTTCTCTCTCTCGACAGTCCTCATGTAGCCCAGGCTGGCCTTGAACTTACTATGCAGCCAAGGCTGGCTTTGAACTTACTATGCAGCCAAGGCTGGCTTTGAACTATTGATCCTCTGGCCTCCATCTCCCAAGTGCTAAGATTACAGCACCACCACTTCATGCTCACGGGCTCTTTCTCCACAGCTTCCATTTCCTTTATGAACTCCTGCACAAGTTCACAATGGGCTTTTGGTGATGGGGAATGTATGGAGGGAGGTCCTGAGCATCTTGGTGAAAGCAGGGCTCAGTTTCTTCTAGGGCTCCCAGGGCAGAGCAAGGGCTGCCCTGTGAAACTACTCTCCCTGGGCACTGATGGGATTTGGCTGAAGAATACCACCCCTTAGCCTTGGGCTTTGGAGTCCACCCCACCAGGTCCCATCCCTTTCTAGTGGACTAGTTAATTATTACCCCTCTGAGCCTCCCTTTCCTCATGTAAAACTGAAGGAGTACTAATTATCCCACTAGGCTGCTTCGGAGGATGAACAAGATAATACGTACCTACGTGGAGCTCACTGGCTGTCTTGGAGTAAAGTGCTCCAGATGGTAGCTATTATTGTTGTTAGTGCTATTCTTCAGTGCATGAGTGGGGGTGCCCTAGAGACTTGGGGTTGAGCGGGAAGTAAATAGGGAAGAGTCGGAATGGAATAAAAACGGGCTGTGTTTGTAATCCTGAGAGAGAGAGAGAGAGAGAGAGAGAGAGAGAGAGAGAGAGAGAGAGAGAGAGAGAGACAGAGAGAGAGAGACAGAGAGAGAGAGACAGAGAGAGAGAGAGAGACAGAGAGAGACAGAGAGAGAGCCTGGGGATGGGATGGCAAGGCTTCAGTCGAGAAGCCCGCCCCTTTCTGGGAGCTCAGCGGTGGGGAGCAGGGGGCGCCCCGGCTCCGTGGCCTCGACGAAAGGCAGCAGCTGTGCTCCCGGGCAAGCCTGGCTGGGAACCCGAGGCCAAAGAGCCTGCAGCCGGGAGAGAGCGGGACCTAGGGGCGGGATCAACGACCTGTGAGCCGGCGGGCGCTCGGGGCGGCGCAGACGCGGGGGGCTCCGGGCTCCACTGTGGCCGCCCCGGCTGCGGCTGGAGGAGCGGGTCCGGGCGCATCCCGGAACCCCGCGGGCGGGGCGGCCTTCCGGAGCGGGCTGGCGGCAGTGCAGGCGGCGGGGAAGGGGCCGTGGCTTTCCCGGCGTGGCTGGGAGACGTCAGGCGGAAGGGCGCGGGGCGCACACGCTTTAAAAGGCATTCGCTGTCATCCGAGCCGTGTGGGCAGAGGCGGCCTATATAAGCCACAAGCCGGGCGGCCGCGGGACACAGCGACAGCGACAGCGACCGAGGCGGGCAGCACCCCGCAGTGCGGCCAGCAGCGCCCCCCGTGCCCCCCGACGGGCCCGCCGCCCGCCTCCTTCCCCAGCAGCGCCGGCCCGG